TAGCGATCGCGGACTTGACAGCATCTACCGTTACGGGATCACGTAGCAGGGTTTCGTTGAGGCGCCACGTGTAAGAATGGGGGGGCTGCCCTGGAAGACAAAGAGCCAGAGAGACAGGGTAGTGATCCGACCACACCTGGGAATGAATCGTTGCGTGGGGATTCCACGAGAGGAGATGATGGGAGGTCAAGAAGTAGTCAATATGACTATGAGAGCAGTGGGGGAAGGAGTAAAAGGTATAGTCCCGCACGGAGGGGTTTAGTATCCGCCATATGTCCACCAGCTGGAGACGATGCAGAAGGGCCCGAAGCCGATTCAGTTGTGACAGAGAAACAGCGGATCTCCCCGAGGAAGAGTCTAATCGGGGATCCATGGGAAAATTAAGGTCACCGCCCACTACTATATAGCCCTCCGCAAACGTCTCCAGCCGGCGGAGTATGGACAGGAAGGCAGGCAATGGGGATTGATTAGGCAAGTAGACATTAACAAACGTGAAGGTCTTGTGGAAGAGGGTCCCTTTCAGGAAAACAAACGTCACTGGCAACATAGGATATCCAACCACACAAAAGCCAACCCAAGATTGCAGTTCGAAGGAGCGGCAGGTACACGAACGGAGGAAGGTCAGGGAGCACGTAGACAAAAAACAGAGGAAGGAGGGAAGGAGGATCCACACACCAGGGGAGGACGGATATGACAACAAACACATAAACAACCTAAGGGGAAGAGCCGAGTCTTCCATTGGGCACAGGGTGGTACACCAACCCAGCTAGCTAGCCTATGGGGGGTATGGAGAAACCAAGGGCAACAGGTTTCACTCCAACTTCAGAACCGGGCATCGTAATAAACAAAACATCAGTGATAGTCATGTAACAGAAAGTGCCAGAAATGCAAATACAAATACAATGCAACTATCGTCCCATAAACAAAACCGCAACATGGACTGCATAAGGCAACAATTTGTAAACCTAGGTACGACCAGTACCTGTGAGGATCGACCAACGCCCACT